CTGGGTACTTCCTAACAGTTGAGTGCTGCACAGGTTCAAACCCTTCTAGATTTTCTTCAAGGCAGTGCATACTGAGACAGTCCCAGGCTTTTTTGTTCATTTGTTTTTAAAGCAGCTTCCTCTAACACCAAAGTTCTGACCAACTGCATGTTTTGCAAACAAAATTTTGTAAAATATTATACCCTCACTCAGGTTTTAAAGAAGTGTTTGAGTTAACAAGTACTAATACTATAGGCTTGCACAGTGGCAGATGTTCTAGATCAGTATTTCTAGATGTTTATTTTCACATCACACATCCAGCAGTTTAGTTTCTGCAAGACTGCTATCAAGCAAGAAACAGTATCACAGGGTTGGAGAATACTGATTTAGCCCTAAGAAAGCAGCAACACTGGGAGAATCTGAAGGCCCTTGCATTCATCTGAACACTTCAAAGCAGTGCATTTTGCAGGATACAATATGCATGGATTTAATTAGAAAAAGTTGGATTCCAAAAGAGTAAAACAATAAAATAACAAATTAGTTCTGCAAGGAGATACAAAATTGTGTACAGAAATACAGTACAAAAGTCTAGTTTGCTCAGTCTAGTCCACTTAGACTCCACAAGATGTCTGATGTAGAAAATAACTAAAAAACTTGGATAGCAACTGCTACGAGAAGTCAAGATAGTTAAGGAATCGCCTAAAAGTTGTTATGCAGGTAACAAGACCGAAAGTAAAATACCAGACTGGGTGGAAGTTCACCTTTGGGATTCCTAAGGAATCCACCTCCAAGCCAATTTTGTGGAGTATTTTGAGGAATGACTGTGTAAGCAAGAGAGAGTCTTCCAGGAGCTTAGAGGCATGGGAAGAAACAGAAACTTAACAGAAACTGCCTGAAATTTAACAATAGAAAAAATGTAAAGCCATACGCTTAAAGTTTATGTTTCCAGCAAGGTCTCGGGGCTGGTCACAGGAGGAGAGCAGAGAGGACAAGGTGCGGGTGTTGAGAGGACTGCAGGGATATTCCTGCAGCGCCAGCCTCATGCAGCCACGGGATCCTCAGCCCGCGTTGCCAGAGGCACCTCCGGCACCAACAGGGAAACACTCACCTGGAAAAGCTCCTGCAAGGCAGCCCTGCACGCTCAGCCGCCGAAACATTAACGGAGATGCAGGAAATAGGTGTGGGGGCGACTGAAGGAACGGAGATTTCACAGAGGATTAAATATTCCAGTCTAAGTAATGGCTAAGAAAAGATGTAATTGCTGTTTGCAGATACAGCAGGAGAGCAAATGTTGAGAGAGGAAAATCACTTTATCTAAGAACAAAGCAACGTCACTGGCATAAAAATAAACTGACCGTAAATGTATTGAATGTTGGAAGAAAGATCTCAAATACCAGAGCACTTACACCCTAGGGTCTAATATCAATTCCTTTCAATGAAAGGAGAAGGAAAATAAATATTTTTGATAATGCTGCAGACTAAATAATTTTTAGAAAAATAATTATACGGGATGACTGCTTGCAAAGCAGGAGACTATTTTAAGGCAGCAAGCGTCTGAAGTTCTTCTCATGGAAAATCTTTCATCATTGTACACAAGAGTGATATTCCGTGCTCAGCAGGAGCAACAGCCATCACCAACTCTCTTGCAGCAGGGCAAGAGTTGCTAATTAAACCTTAATTGCGTCACGCTCGATCCCAGATCTTGGAAGGGTGTTTGTTCTCCTCCTCCTCCTCGCTAAGGAGCCGTAGCAACATCCCAGCTCTCAAGCTGAAGCTTCTCTTTTTGGCCAAGGCAACTTTTTGTAGCAGGTCTGCTACCAAAAGTAATTAAAACCAAGGGTTTTTAGCACAGTTTCCAGAACAGCTAAATGACCAGTCAGAGTTAAAAGCTCGAAGACTTTTCCTTGTTGGAAAGAAAAAATAAAAAAATGTCAGTAGGTTACATCAGCTTTGAGTTTTTTAAAAAAGAGCAGCACCCTAGAACTTACCAAAAGCTACGTGAGCCTTGGGCCACAGAACAACAGGCTGTTTTTTAAAGTAGCATCTGAAACGCTCCACATGATGTTGCTTTATAAAAGATAATGGCCTCATTCTACTTCCTGCTTCACAGCAACAAAACTTTGTTATTTACAAGCTGATAATACTTGACTGTTTACTTTTAGGTTCAGTTTTGTATATAGTATTTAGGATCCGTATTATAAATGAAAAAAGGGATTTAAATCATTCTGACTTAAAAGACTTCTTTTAAAACCACACGCATGCAAAATAGAGATATAACAAATGTTTAAAGAAACAGACAAAAAATCCTTTGGAAAGTAAAAACTACTTTTCTCAGCAGTTTCATTTCTCAGCTGTTCTTCCACCTCAAACAGGCCGTTTTTGTGCTAGAACACAGACACATGAAAAGGAGTAGAAATCAATTACAAAAGTGAAACCAACTTGTCTGTTTTTACTATGTGAAAAAAGGCTTTTCAAATACCTGCTTTGCATGTTTTGGCGGGGTAAAATTACATGTTAATTAAACTTAGAAATGCTTTAAGTAAACTAACTTTTCAAATCGATTCATTTGAAAGCAACCTACTCAAAGAATTTCACTTTGCATTTAAAAAGCATGCTGTTAAACACAGCAAAACCCCTTTGAAATTCTTCAGGAGGGTGACAGTCTTTTTGCTTTTGTGCCTGCAAAATGAGTACAGCAAGAGGTGCCGTCTATGGACCAAGAAACAAAGGCATTAGCACAACACAAATAAAGGCCCAACTAACTTTTGGATGCAGAGACAAAAGTGAATCACTTACCATCCTCAAACTAGGGTTTAATAAAGAGCTAAAAATACTGCCAGGATGCGTATCACAACAAGCAGTAATAATAATATCAAAAATGAGCTGCAATAGGAAAGGTGGAAGCAATACAGGTATCTGCTATTTCTACATAAAACAATTACATAAAATTTATTTCAGGAATATTTGCAATCAGTACATAAAGAAATCATGTATTTGAATGGAAGCTTAAATATAAGAATTCAGCACACAAATAGGTGAGAAAAAGTTACTCCAAGAGATCTAATGCGCCAAGACAGAGAAAGTCTGCAGAATGAAACACACCTGCAAAAAGGTTTTCAAGGGCAACACCAAACACTGGAACACAACATCTCACTGCAGGTTTTTTTCCCCCCCACACATACACCAGCGCTAATTTGAATTTATGCAGATGAATTTATCCCCAGCTGAACTTTAGAGTCTGACTCTTTGCTAGATTATATTTAATAACTGAGCCACAAAACAGACCCAGGTAAAGTACTCACAGTAACGTATAATGCAACTCAACTGGCTGCATCAGTGATTTTTTCACACAGCTAGAAACACTCGGGATAGTTTTTTTGGTGTTGCAAATGCCAGCCCCATGCTTTCCCGAGTGATTCTCTGATCAGGGAAGGATTCTGAGAGACTGTAAGATTTAAACTGAAATGCCAAAATAACAGGTCAAACTTACAATTCCTTAGTTCTTCCTGGGGAAATTCCCAGGATGGCTGAGATGCTAGTGCCAACTAGAAAATTTTTTTTTTTTTGTTTAAATCAGAAGACATACCAAGATAACTATTTAAATCTTGCCTTCTTGCCTAGAGAAAAAAAAAAGTGTTTCTGGGGCTATGAGAGAGCATGTTACAAATACGCCTGCAGGGAACCAAAGACCAAGACTACAGACTTCTTATTCCTTACATTTCTGCAGCGCCTGCTCTCCCGCAGAAGCTGCCGCCTGGGCTGGACGCTGCTGGTAACTGCACTTGCAGTTTAAAAAGGCCCCAGGATTTCCTGACATCAAGAACACGCTATCTTATCTCTTTCATATATCAAGACGCAGGAGAACCACTGGTGTAAAAGATCAGCAAGGGATGCAAACGAGCATTTACGAAACTTTGCAAAAATTACTGAACAAAGGACGAATTTCAGTGATGCTTACCCTAGCCATGCAAGGGTACAAAAGAAATATCCCACACCAAGTGTCAAAAATAGGACACAGGAATTACCGCTAGCAGTGCAGCATGGACTAAACATCTTTTGCAAGGTTTTTCCCCCATACAAACACACTTCAGTTTCTTAATGCATGAACATTCTTCCTCCCCACAGGAGCACTAGGCCATGCTTTTATTGGAAAATCTGGAGACAGAAGAAACGTTTGCGATACCATCTCCTTTTAATGAGGCACATAACTAGTACTGGGATAGGGCATGGGAGCAGGCTAACAAGGAGATGTTTTCACGCACCAGGACCCATTTAACGCAGCTTTGGGCACCCAGCTACTCTAGCACATTTTCTATAATAAACTGCTTAAATCAGTAAGCAACTTTTATACTATTTCACATTTATCTGTCAAAATTTTGCAATTTTTTTGGAGGGAAAAATATATAATTCCTTAAAAAAAAAAAATCATCAACAATACATACAACATTTGGTCACTTCATATTCAGATTCCCTGTGTTAACATAATATATTCATGACTTATAAAAGGTAGTCGCTTTCATGAATCATTAACCTACATTATCAACTGTTTTGGCTTCCAACAGCTTACTCAGGACCACAGCACCGAGTTTACCTCTTCTCCTTCTATGGTCATACCCCTCTAACATATTACTCATGCCCACAATGTGTTTATAACTTTTAATAATTTACAGCAGTTCATAAGTGATTTATAAAGAATTCTTAAAATAAAATCTTTGTTCTTTAAAAGTATTTGGGATCTGAAGACATGACATGTGACAGAACAAGGCAAACATGACAAAAGTTACAGTCGATTTTTTAGATAACAGATGAAGAGAAAAGGGGTTTTGTTTAAGAAATATATGCATGGTATCGATCACTCTCAGTATAAGCTAACATTGCAACAGAATGATCAAGGGCATAATCTTATGCAAATTTTAAATGCAAAAAGGCACCTCAAGAAGCAGCAGTTTATGCGTGCTTAACCACATTGCAAAGGGAACTTAAGCCAAAAAAGCAACATCTCCATCCGCATAATTGCTTACCAATTTCAGCAGGTAGTTGCTTGATTTTGTTCTCCCGTATGCTAAGCATGGTGAGTTTTGACAAGTTTTTGATATCCTTTTCCACAGTAGTTATACGATTAAAGCGTAGGTAAAGCGTGGCGAGCGAGTGTAGCCGGTAGACGACGGAGGGGATTTCGCGCAGTTTGTTGTGCCGGAGGTCAAGCATGCGCAGTTTCTTCAAGTTATCGAGAGAGTCAGGCAAACTGGTGAGCGAGTTTTCGCTCAGGGCCAGTGTCACCAGGTTCACAAGGCAGCCCACCTCTGCCGGGAGAGACTGCAGTTTGTTACTGTATAAATAAAGTTCCGTTAATTGCGTTAACTCCTTGACGGCTGACGGAAGCATGTGTATCGACCTCTTGGACAAGTCCAAGCGCATGGAATTCTCTTCCCGGCATTTATTTAGCTCTTTGATCACTTCAGCATTGCTGGATTTTTTGCGGGTACCTGTGGCTGGGTTAGGTCGTTTTATCGTATTGTCCACTGAAAAGGCCACCCCAGGCTGCGTGCTACTGGAGTCCTTCTTTCCATCTTTGGCATCTTTCCCTTTGGTCTTAGGCTCCTTTTCTTTGCCCTCTTTCCCAAATCCTCCAGAGGCTTTGGCCTCCTTCTCCCTTTCTTTTGATGATGGGACTTTTGGATCCTTCTCCTTACAGTCTTTTTCTTTTCCTAGATTACTACTCATGGTGACTCAGTGTTTAGCAAGCACCACATGAAATCCGTTTCCGACGCTGACGATTCGCTGCCGGGGCTACAAGGATCCTTACAACACGCGAGTGTGAGGCAAGGGAGGAGCGTCGCAGCTGCGATCCCCGTTTGCT